CTGAGAGTAATTCTGTTAATGTTGTCTTTGATTTCACCTATGCCTTGGTGAAACCATCAATCTTTAACATGTACAAGTCTGTTATTTTATAGCCTTAATTATGCTAGTTTTTGAATGAATGCCCTAGTGGATTTCCTGGGAGAAGTACTCGTGTTCTCGTGCCAGAGTTGGCAATGGGAGTTTTTATTCTGCTAAAAATAGTATTGCTTGCTGATTATGTTAATGCTCCAGTCCGTTGCTGCCAGCTTCAGATGCATGGTTTCCTGAAAGTGGTGCGGTGTCCTGTGTATGTGGGCTCAGTGCAGGTGTGCCTCCTTGGGAACTTAGACCCTTCTCAAAATGCTGAGTCTGTTTATGCTGGTTCTAATCTAAAAATCTCTTGCACATTTCATCTTCCTTTTAGAGATGAAATTTGAGTCATTTTCTGTCAACTTAATTAGCAAGTTGTCAAGCTTCTTACAGCTGGGTGAATTCTGCCGGCCATTGTCAGCAGTAATACAGAGGCTCCAGCGTGGCTTGCTTACTAATGATGCGCTTTTGTTCTAGGTACAACTCCAAAAGGAGACACTGGAGAAGGACCAAGCTGGGCTTGTGAAAAGAAGAGACACTCTAATGAGAACTCTAATGGCACAGTACCCTGTTAATGACCACAACTTGCTAGAAAAAAAACACCGCTGACCTACTCTGAAGGCCATGAACCTTGTCAACTTTTTAAAAAACAAAATAGTCCCAAAACAGGCTGGTCAGAGGCATTTTGGAACCGTTACAGCAGAAAAGTGATGTCCTGGTGTTCTATTAGTGTTCTTTTGTGCAACGCTCATATATGTATTGACTGAATTTGTATTGCCTCTTTACAGGTTTGTTAATAAATATGAGCTTTAATGGTTTTGGCTGAATTTATTTAAGACACCACAATGTATGGAGCAGTGGATAAATCTGGAAAGTAGGAGCTGTTATGGGAGCATTCATTGCTGTGGGAAGTAGTTCTGTTCATTGCCTGCAACCAGCAGGCACAATTAGTATCCCCCTCCTGCACCCTTTTGTCACCTTTACCTGTAAAAAAGCAAGGCTTGTAACCCGGGTTTTAAAAGAAAAGGTGAGCAACTGCTTGGAGATGGCTGCCCTTGTGAGAGCTACTCCTGCAGAATGTGAAGAGGATCCCCTATGAATAGGTAAAATAGCTGCACCTTTTGGAAGCTGATGCATACAATACCCACCAGAATAGTCCTCAGCCTGATACTCCGCCCCGTGATCTTTACAGGCATCCTGCCTTTGGCATGCTGCTTGCTAATGTTCACAGCTGCTAGGATGTGAACATTAGGATGTTGTCAAAATACATCATGATGACTTGTACACAAAGGGCTAGATTTTATCAAAGGAGTGTTGGTTGTAGCTGTGTTGGTTTAAGGACATAGGCAGGCAAGGTTTTTTGGGTAGATGTGATCTCCTTTATTAGGCCAACTAAATAGTTGGAAAAAAGTTATTTGCAAGCTTTTGGACACAAACACTGTTTAAGGGAGTCTCATTGCCTGAAGAAGGGTGTTTGTGCCTAAGCTTGCAAAGAACTTTTTTCCAACTATTTAGTTGGTCTAATAAAACATCACATCTACCCAAAAAACCTTGCCTACCTTGACTTTTCAGAGGTACTTAGGCATGAAAAGATGCAGCTGGTGCTAGACTTTAAAACAGGTTCTGAGGGTGAGTTCTGCAGGGGGGGATACTGTATATTTTCCAAGTTGCCAGAAATTAAACAAGCCAAATATAGGGAGAGAATAAGGTAAGAGCATGTGCTCAGTCACTGCTTTTAGCATTTCACTGCTAAAGTTCTGTGCTGCAGACCCGAGAGGATGTGTTAAGGAAACCGGGCCTAGTTATGGTTTCCTTTTCCAGTTGCCAGATTTAGGACTGGTATTGGATAGCCTGAACTCCCAAGATTTAAAATGGAGTGTGTGCTTGTGTTGATGACTGCAAGGAGGGGGGCTATCTTTCCAGTTAAGGTTTTAGGTAAACTCAGGGCTACTCCCACCTCTTGCTTTGCGCAGCTGTCAGCAACTAAGTGATGGTGCTAGTTATTAATCTACATTCATTTTTAATTATGATACACCTAAGAATGGAGGAGTGACAAGTATAAGGGAATACACAAACATGCCAAATCCCTTACACGTGCATTCTGCACTAAGACCTTCAGAGATTAGCTAGCACCTTTTATGCAAGGAGCACAGTACTAGATTTTCTGGCAGAGACACAAACGGAGGTTATGAGTCAATGGCAGCACTTACTTCATCCACTCCTCCACACCAGCTTGAGCAGGGCACGTATTCTGCTTAGTGCAGGACATTATTGCAGCTTTGAATCCTCCGTGAAGGGGCTGAGGCAAAGCCCATCCTGCTACTGAATCCAGCCTGTGCCACTGTTTTTATGGGGAAAGCCAGGCTCTGCTACAGTGCATTTCCTTGGTGGGTAGCAAGCTGCTTTCTGAGGTTTCAAAACCTTGGTGTCATGCCCTGTGGCACTTGCAGAGCTGTTTCTCACTTCTCAGACAAACAGGTGCAGTCGACCTTGCTTTAACTTCCTTAGTGTGGGAAACATTGAATGCAGCGGAGCTGTGTGAGCTGAATTAAGCCACATGTTTTACTTAGGGGCTTACCAGCTGGTTGTCTTGCACAGTAGCCTCTTCCTTTTGCTCAGACCTGAGGAAGGGTAATCAACTGTACACTTGATTTAATAAAAGATACTGCTGAAAGAGCCTTGTGTCTCCCTTTGAAGCCATTTAAAAAAATTGGTTACCAAAGGAAAGTGAGGCCAGCCTTCTGTAGCAGCCTCCATGGCAGTAATATCCTTCAGCAGTTTCCTATGGCTGTCTGACAGTCAAGTTCCTCGAGTGTGCAATGTGCCACAGGACAGGAGCTAGAGGCCTTGAGAAATGCTTCAAGGAGGCCACATATTGCAAGCATTCTTACTTGTGTTTTTAAAGGCATCTTTTGTAAGAAGTGTGTCAGGAGTGCTGTGGCAGCACCAGACGCACACAGGACCCTTTATGGCGTTCCCTTTCTGCCTTGTCTCACAATACCCCAAATTTTCTCTGGGTCTTAAGGGGTTTTTTTCCCCCCTCTCCTCACAAGCATGACTCCTGAAAGTGCTGCTCTTTGAGGCAAGCAGCTGGATGATGTGCGACTGCAGGCTGAAAATCAGCCCTCTTAGAGCTAACAACCCAGAACCATGCTCTTCCTTAAACCAATACTGGTATGAACAGTGAATGCAAATGAGATCCAACAGCATAAGCTGCTGGTTGTGACAATCAAGGCTTGGATGACACAGTGGCAATTTACAGCCAGCCCTGAGCCTGGAACTAGACAATCATTTTATAAAGTATGTGTGATAATGGCCCTTCAGGCAAGAGGTTAAATTGATTTATTTTCTCTTTGCTGCTGCTGTTTTATTTGAATCAGTCACTGGTAACTTCCAGCAGGGAGCTATATTTTCTGTAAAATAATGCATTATATTTATTTACCGGAAGGACTGTAAAGACTGAATCTTCCTCTTGAAGAGGCAAAAGTGATTGAAAACAGCCCCAAACTTTTGCAAAACCTGAACCACTAGACAAAGTTTGTGTTTAAATGGTAACTGTTACTTCAGTGGTAGCTTGTCTTGCTTTTTAAGCATCTTCTCAGTTTATTTAGATTGTGGTATCCTTGGGCAGCACCAGGAAATTGGGGCTGAGGTTTAAAAAAATGCACAGAGATTTCAGGCACCCATTTTCCACATTGGTAATGCAAATAAGGTGCCCATACCTCCTTGACAGCTTTGAAAGTCTGTCTGAATATGGACTAGAAACTGACTACTCTGTATCTGTGGTACTGAAAAGCCAAGAAATAAATGAGATGTGTTCATCTTAGCCAGGGCACCGATAATACAAGTGAGGACTTTTTTTTTTTTCTCATTTCAGGCACTAGACCAGGGGTGTCAAAGATATAGCCCCTGGGCTGGATCCAAAGCTGACCCACATGCTGCACATAGCATGCACCAGACTAGCCCTGCCTGCGGGGCCCAGGACCCACAGTGCCCGCTCCAACCAGTCCGGTAGTCCACCAACTCCAACCAACTGGAGTGGGCAGCAGATGTGCTGGATCTGGCGTACAGTGCTGGGAGGGTCCATGGGACTGATCCAGCTCATAGACCAACTCTGTACCACTCTTCCAGCCCAAACGCCAGTTGCGTTGGACGCCCCTGTTCTAGAGACATAAAACATGCTACTGAGACTTCCAGACCTGGGATCACTCGAGGTGCTGTGGGTTTCCCAGAAGCAGAATAAACAAGGGAAATGGAGATATACTGTCCATTGTAAATTCCTTCTCTGGAACTTGTAATTCCAGCATGTTTTTTTACTTTACAAGTCCAAGGCTTAAGTGTGTCGTAATGTCACTAATAGTAAATGCAGCTCTGGTTTTGCTTTTTTTGAAGTCCAGAATGGGACTGTCCAGAATGTGGCCCCAGACCCACAGGGAAAAATACCTTTAGCAGTGAGAGGGAGGCCTGTTCAGCATCATGTCACTGGGTTTATCAATCCATTTTGGATGAACTCTTGCAGCTGCTGCCTGAGATTCAGTCCTCAGCAGAGCTAAAGACTGGCTGGGCTCTGCCAAATGAGCTTTTGCTTGAGTTTCAGAGCAACCAGGAACTCCTTCAGTGTAAAATCTCCCTCTTGCCTTTGTTTACTGTGCTTGCTCAGAGAACCACGTCACCATAATGATCCCATGTCCCCTCTCCTCGGCAGCATGCTTTTATTCCTACGGGGAGTAACTAAGATCAAAACTGTTTAGGAAAATCATAGCTCTTGTTTGTGCTATCAGTCGTACCTTTCCTTCCCCAAACCTGATTTACTTAATTATTTTGTCATGATTTTTGTACCAATCAACTACATCCATTTAGAAAC